CAGAAACCATCTGGTCTTCTTCAGCAACCAGAGATTCCCCAATGGAAGTGGGAGCAGATATCAATGGATTTTGTTACAAAGTTGCCAAGAACGAGGAAGGGATACGACTCAATATGGGTCATAGTGGACCGACTTACGAAATCTGCACATTTCCTACCTATTCGAGAAGACTTTAGTACGGAAAGGCTTGCGCAGTTATATGTCAATGAAATCGTATCGCGACATGGAGTTCCTATTACTATCATATCAGACAGAGATGGTCGTTTTACATCATGATTATGGCAATCAATCAAAAAGGCACTAGGCACAAGGCTGGACTTGAGCACTTCCTATCATCCTCAGACGGATGGGCAAACGGAAAGGACAATACAAACGCTGGAGGATATGTTACGAGCCTGTGTAATAGACTTTGGGGGCAGTTGGGATACTCATCTGCCATTGGTTGAATTCTCCTATAACAATGGATATCACACCAGTATCCAATCCGCACCATATGAAGCCTTGTATGGGCGTAAGTGCAGATCACCACTCAACTGGTTGGAAGTTGGTGACAGGCAGCTGATTAAACCTGACATCATTCAGGAGACAATCGACAAAATCTCAATCATCCAAGAAAGACTTAAAGCTACGAGAGACCGTCAAAARAGCTACGCCGATAACCGAAGGAAACCATTGGAATTTCAAGTGGGTGATAAAGTCCTCTTGAAGGTATCTCCGTGGAAAGGGATTGTACGCTTCGGTAAGAAAGGGAAGCTTAGTCCAAGGTATGTTGGTCCATTTCTTATTCTTGAAAGAATCGGACCAGTGGCTTACAAGCTATAAGCTTACCCCCAGAAATGAGTGCCATCCATGATACATTTCATGTATCCAACCATAAGAAATGTTTAGCCGATGAAACATTGATCTTACCGTTGGAAGACATTCAAATTAACGAACGGTTACGTTTCGTTGACGAGCCGGTCAAAATCCTTGATAGTAAAGTCAAGCAGTTGAGGCGCCGCAAAATTCCAATTGTGAAAGTTCATTGGAACTCCAGGCATGGACCAGAATATACGTGGGAAAAAGAAGATTTCATGAAAAGCAAGTGTCCCCACTTATTCTCGAACAAGTCATGATCTGAATTTGACGCATAAATTTCGGGACGAAATTTTTCTGGATTGGGGAGACTGTGACAATCCGTCATTTCAGAATTTCAGGTTAGCACCTTATTTTTTTTTTAGGATCTTTATTGAGAATTAAGTTTTCCTATGCTTTAGCTATGATGATTAGAGATCATCTTGCTTAATTTCCAAGATTAGTTCGAAAGATCACGTTTCGGCGGGTAACTGTCAAAGTTAACTTGTGCAATGCCAAATAGTTTAGAAATGCTTCAAATAAAATAAAGTTGATGTTTTAAGTTTTGTATTTAAAAAAAATTAAATTTTCCAAAGTCCCATTTTATTGGCCAATTAATTTATTAAAGGGTGGAGTTTTAAAATCTAATATCAAGTTGTTTTGTTTGAATAAATTATAGTGGGGTTTTATTATTTAGAAAAATAAAAATATATTTTGGGCTTGGGCCTTTAGAGGCCAGCCCATTTTATCCTTAAAAATCCTCATATAAATACCCCTAATTCTTTGAAAAACTGTCATTTCCAAATTCTAAGCTTAAATTTTTCATCTCTCTTTAAACCCAATCATCCTCCAGACGATTTCATCTTCTCGCAAGCCTTAAAGGATTCCGTTGTTCTTAAGGATTATTCAAGATTTTAAGAAAATGTATGATTTGAGTTATCCTATTCTCATAAAAAATTCAAAAGTTTTCATCCTTCTTCACCTACTCGATCCTCTAGTAAATTTATGAGAATTAAAGAGGGGAGATTGTTCATCAAAGACCTGCAAATGTCTTCGAAAGGGTGATAATCTGTGATCCATGTTCTTTAATCTCTAAGAAAGTAGGAGAGAGTCCTTGCATGTGAGATCTGATCATATTTTATGTATGGTAGGATCTTGCATGCATCTTTAATCAGATTTATTATCTTTAAAACTCGAGGGAATCGGAAAATATTTTTCTGGAGTTTGTTCGAGGATGATGGCTCAAACTAGAGTTTAAATTCTTGAAAATAATGAGCTTGAGACCCCTCCCCATCATTGCTGTCATTTTTGGTGCATGCAATCTGTTTTGGGGGCGTGTGACTCACGATTGTAGGGTATTTAAGAAGAGACTCAAACCCACTTAAATATTCTTGATATTAGAAATTGACGGCTGTCATCATTGTTTTGGATGACTTAAGATGATGTCATTAGGTGGATTTTGGGAAGGTTCTTTTTTTAAAAATAAATAATAAAATATCGGCTTTATTTTATAAAAACCTTGATGGCATTACATTGAAAGCAACTTTGCTTTATCTTGGGCAAGAAACCTTTGTTGTTGGTCTGTATAGGAAGGTCGGGCGAGCTTTGAAAGCTTCTAAGGGCAACCTCTGGATATTCATCATCAAACTAGTGAGTTCTTACGGCCCCACTTTTACTGCTTTTTGATTGTTTTATGGGGGAAAAGCACGAGATTGAGCAAACTATGCATGTTTATTTTATGTGAA